TAGAGAGGGGTTAGTAGTTTAGGCGGTTAGTGAAGAAGACTGTGCCCCGGGCTATGGCGAAGGGAGAGGTGTCGGGAATGGAGAATCGGGATGTCGCTCGATTAGCGATGGAATCGGGTGATGCAGAGATCGAAAATGTGGTTTCGGACGTTTTGGTACGGGGCGAGCGCGATGGTGAGGTTAGTTTTAGTTGTAGATTAGTAGATAAGGAGGTTAGCAGAGAATATGGTGCGCGGAGTTATAGACGGAGGAGGAGAAGTGAGGGAAGAAAAGTATGAATCTTTCCAGCTACGTTGCGATTCGTACTCACCCCCGTACGAGTACAAGTTGTACTCATTTCTTGTATGCTACTCGTACTCAAGGCCCGTACGACTTTTTTTATTTATGTTTTACTGTTTTTATTTGTTTTCTCCAATTCTAATAATAATCTGCAGATGGTGCTCGGGCAAATGTTGCTTGCCTTGGGATTTTACATCACATATATTTTTTTCGGATTTTTTGGATGACTTTTTTTTTTTTTTTTCGTATGGGTCGTACGGGAGCGTACAGGTTCCCGTACAAATATTATCTGTACATTTCGTACCGAAAGGCCCCGTACGTGTACGTTCGGTAACGTAGCTTTCCCGTTTCTTGATGGAAAAAGGTGGGGAAAGATTCGTAGAAAGGGTTTAGAGGTAGGGCGAATGTAATGGTAGCATTAAATTTGGCTATAGGCTAGTAGATTAGAGGTTAGTAAGAAGAAAGACCGCGCGGAGGTATTGAGGTAGAGAAGAGAAAGGATGGTGGGAATGAAAAGCGGATAGCTCGCTCGATTCTCCTCGGCATCAAGCGAGCAAAGATGCTGAGTGGGGGTTTTGGGGTCGGGCGAAGCTAATGGCAGTGTCAGATTCGATGAAGGATGGATGGTATGACCAGTATGGGTTATAGGGGCTGCGCCGGGAGGAAGTGCTTCAAACTAGCAATGTACCTCCCTTTGTTCTAGTGGGAGATTCATTCGGTTCTGCCCATAGTAGCAACAGGGACGGCAAGCGAAAGGGAGAGTTGAGTAGGAGAGGGAAAAAAACGGATACGTACCGGGCCTCTTCCTCGAGGGAGATCCGCTTTCGGCTAGCATATCCGGAAGCTCGGCGCTGATGTCGGCCGGGCTGCTGAGGAGTGCGGATGGAGTCAGGGACCGCACTACCTACAGCGGGGGACGGATGCAGGGAAGGGGGCTTGGCGGGTAGAAGTGTACCTACCTGTGCTGTTGCGGAAGGCTCGTTTGACCTTTCCCAGGCGGATTAGTGGAGGGGTGTGAGGCTAGCCGGGAGGTAGGGGACTCCCCCGTTGCTCGGTGTGTTGTCCACCCCGTCGAAGGAAGTAGCCCCTCCCTGTTTCAGGCGCTCGGTGACATCTG